AAAAAAAAAAAAAAAATATTTTAAGTACTATTATATCACATGAAAGCCAGAAAGAGGAAAAGAAAAAGAAACTAATGGTAGGAGAGTACGAGTTCTTTTTTACTTGACATCTATGTCATATTTCCCATTTTCTAATTAATTACTACATCAGAAACAAGGACAAGAAATAATTCATTTGAGCCTATGGCTCTAAAACTTACTCCTTGATTTCCTTCTTCTTTATCATTTTTTTTTTGTTTTACAAGACGCCAAACCAAAAGGCTAATCTTCAGAACAGAAATTAAACTGATAATAAGAGAGAGAAACTTGTATAGGAATTTAAGGGACGGCTGCTGGGGGTGGAACAGCAACATTCGGAACTCCAGGGATTGGAAAAGAAAATGGGTTATTATCACCAGTACCAGGAATTCCAAAACCAGGCAATCCTCCTCCTGATGCGGGTGGAAACCCAAAGTCAGGAAATGGGAAATTGAAGGGTATATTTGGAATTCCATCAGAAAAGGGTGGAAAATTGAATGGAAAAGGAAATCCTCCAATGTTTGGTGTAGCTGGAGAAGGAGAAGCTGAATCATCCTTTTCCTCCTTAAATAAGTTGTCATTTTCCTTTCCTTTCCCTTGGTAATTATTTTCCTCTCCTATCTTAGACTCCCTAAGCATCCTTTTAGCATTACAAACACTGGAAAAGTGAATTAAACAAAGCAAAGTGACAACACTAACAATCAACTTGACAGAAAATGTACAAGTCATTTTCCTTTCTTTTCTTTGATATAAAATAGAAAAGAAATAGACAAGAGTAATGAATATTGGCTTACACTAGTAAGCTGTTTATATAGAGGGATTGGAGTTCAAAGGGTTAAATTCTCAGTGTTAGTAGTTAGTATCTTTTGTTCTTTTCTACTCCTAGTATACTTTTGTTGGTTTGGTTTTTAGCTTTGTTATTGACTAAGAGTGTAGTATAAGATTGTTTTAAATCTATTCACACTTAAAAAATATGTTTTGCCAGCTACATCTTTTTATCCTTTTTTGCATTTGCACTTAATGATGATGGTTAAGGATATAATCCTAATTAATCCACTTTGACGTTTTTCCTGCTGAAGCAAATACGAGTTGTTGGTTGCTGGAGCATTAATGTTACTACACCAGGTTTTCAGAATGATGGTAGTTAGAAAGAAAGAAAAATTGCCCTTGATACTTAATAGTAGGATTTAATATTTTTCCTCTCTTATAGTGTTTCATTTGTCTATAGGTCACGAGTTCGAATCGTAAAATCACAGCTTTTGAGGTGCAACTCTTCTCTCGATCATGATTGAACGCGAAATATACTGTGTACCAGATTGTCTTTTTATTTATTTATAGTGTTTCATTTGTTTGAAATATTCTTCAAACACAGAGACTTTAATTTATACTAATAGTTTGTTAATTGTTACATCGTTGGAAGAGTTTCAAAAAACTAAAAACAGTACAAGAGGCAAGCGATTAAATCCAAGTAAGCATTAAGGTTAACACTATTTAATTGTTTTAAAAACTTGATGTAGTAAATGCTGGAGGAAAGTTCGAGTTTCGGTGGGGAAGGAGGCTGGTAGTTTGTACTTGCAGCTTGTTTGGATGGTCGATACATATTGTATCGTATTATTAATTTAAATATAATATTTGTTCTGATTGTTACTTAAATTTTATTGTATTATATCGTTACATAACGACAAAAAGTGTCACTTCATATAACGATCGATTTGGTGTAGTCGCGTCGTTTTCTTGTCTATTATCTTGCCCTTCCTTATTCTATTAGATAATCTTATTTTATTCTTTACCTTACCTTTTATATAATAATTCTACTTCGTACTTTACTTTTTCTTTGTAATATTGCAAATTTATTCTTTATATTGTCGGTGCATAACACAATAAAACGACTACAAATAATATAATTTATCCAAATATTACGTGAAAATAGCACGTGCTAGCTAGTTTTCGGACTGGTAATTCAAAAATAGCCAGCGTTTGCAAAGTCATTGAAAAATAGCCACTATTTTGTTGCAACACGGAAAGTTCCAGCATAATATACTGGAGATTGTTGCACATGTGTATGAACTTTCAGCATTTTATGCTGGAACTCCAACACATGGAAAGTTCCAGCATAATATACTGTAGATTGGAGCACATGTGTATGAATTTCCAGCATATTATGCTGGACCAGTATATTATGCTGGAATTCCAGTACATTATGCTGGAACTCCAGTATATTATACTGTAGAAGTATATTATGTTTGAAGTCCAGTATATTATACTGGAACTTCAGTATATTATGCTGCAATATTTTTCAGATTTTGAACAGTGTTTTTGTTCAGATTTATCTTTATATGAAAAATGACTAAATTTCGATTACTTTTTGAACCGTGACTATTTTTTAATTACCACTTGTAAATCTAGCTATTTTTAAATTTCACCCAAATATTACATACAGCCAAACGATTCAGTACAATACACTAAAACACTACTGTTACAGTTTAATTTTGTGCAATTCAAGAGAGAATAAACATTTGTCTCATTTATTGAGACGGTGGACTAAAAAAGAGAACAAGCATTTTCTTGAAACGTGTATCTTATAACTTTTAAATAGAAAAAGTTATAGTAGCATAAATTACTAGTGATGATTTTTTTTTTCGTCTTGTAATTTGAAATATGTAAGCTATTTGTTTTACGAAAAAATTGTTAGTGTCACATTTAATTATTTTCTATTTTAGCTTGCGTTTTATTTACTCAGTTAGATGTGTAAGACTTTCATTGTATAAGAGGTTTAAGTGTTTGATTTTAAAACATATACAACAACAATCAATAACATTATTATTTTTGCTGCTAATTCTCATTATATAGTGGGATTCAAGTATATTTGCTGGGTATTTACTAGGGGTATACATGGACCGGGTATGTTCGATTTTTATTAAAACCAAACCAAATCAATTATATCGGTTTGTATTGGTTCGATTTTATCAGATTTTTTGGGTTTTTCGGATTTTTTTGTAACATGAATACTATGTCAATCTTACTTTGTTAAATTTTTGCTAAGTAAATATAAGTTTAACAAAAATTTAAAAATTGACAAACATATGATCTATTAAAATATTCTTTTGGTAAAATTTTCTTAGTAATACATAATAGTTATTTTTTTTTGTTATCTGACAATAATTTTTCGTTGATGTGCATTTTCAAGGTTAATCGAATTTAATAATTAAATATAAAAATTAATATGATACCTAAATAATGATATGTTCTATTTAATTTTCAATTGGGATCTTTACATAAATAGCCGATTATATTCACTGTTTACTTTTTTTAGCCATATACATAGAGACATTAATTATACACAATTATGCATATATAATACATAAATTACGTACATATTATACCTGCACCGGCGATTTTTAGTTTAAGCGGTTGGGTGGACGGCTATTTAGGTTAATTCTTCTTTTCAATTATCGAAATACCACTTCAAATTCGAAAAATATATATGAATTTAATAGATCTTGACATATGAATAAGGAAGAACAAAAAGATTATCGCAATTCAATAACACTTTTAAGAAAGTGATCATACAACACATTATTTAAAGTTAATAAAAAATAGAGCACTTCATATTTTATTAAATATTATATCCCATAAGAGAATCCCAAATATTTTTAGATAGTTTTTTAAAAAAAATCTATATAAAGTATTAAAAGTATATATAAAATTATATATTTATATGTCGGTTTGATTCGAATTTATTTTATTCAATACCAACCCAAATCAAATCAAACCTTATCAGATTTTTTAATCGGTTTGGTTTGACTTTTCCGCCATTTTCCGATTCGGTTTTTACATCCCTAATATCTGATATCTGCTATCTACGAATGAATCACATTATAAGAGGGTTTAGAGTAATTAATTACTATTTTTTCAAACTTCAAATATTATACAACCGGTCCTCATTTGTCCAATGACCGAAAAACTAATATTCCGATGAACTCTAGTCTAGATGAAGGATAGCAGAGTATACATACTTGATACTCCAACCTTGAGATGAATTTAGATAACTAATGACTGAGCTGAATGTCGTAGTACACAGACATCGTAAATTTACCTTCAGTAAACCCCGCCTCAATTTAATCCCGCGATATTGACAGTATCAAAGCTGCTGCCATTAGACCTTAAGTTGGGTTAGGGTAAAAGGGTAACTGGAATAGTGGCCTCTAAACTTGAAACTTGTTCCTCGTCCTAAAGTTGGGTGATGCACGTAGAGTTACATAGCTAGTACTGAACTGGAATGATATCGCTCAGGCTTTGTCACAGAAGACTTTATGCAACACCAAAATTTACCTATGCTGAATGGGGAGACTTTTTGGATGTGGCGAAAAGAAACTATCATTTAATGCAGGAATCCCAACATTTTCCCCTGCAAAATATGCTCGAAATCAACTCCCAATTGAAGGAGTTGGTAAAGAATGGTCAGTTGGAAAATGCACGCCACATGTTTGACAAAATGACTCAGAGGGATGAGGTCTCATGGACCAATATGATTTCTGGTTATGTCAATGCCTCTAGTTCATTACAGGCGTTGTCTTTATTCTCAGAAATGCGGCGTGATCCTATTCTCAAAATGGATCCTTTTGCTCTTAGCCTAGCGGTGAAGGCATGTGGGCTTAGTATGAATTTGAGGTGTGGTGAATCATTACATGCGTATTCGATAAAAGCTGATTTTGTTAGTTCTGTTTTTGTAGGCAGTTCACTTGTTGACATGTACATGAAAGCTGGTAAAGTGATGGGGGGTTGCAGATTTTTTGATGAAATGCCTCTTAGGAATGTAGTTTCTTGGACAGCTGTTATAACCGGGCTTGTACGTGCAGGTTACAATGAGGAAGGGTTGGTGTACTTTTCTGAAATGTGGAGGGACGGCGTAGAGTGCGATTCGTATGCTTACGCTATTGTGTTAAAAGCGTGTGCTGATATTGGGTGTCTGAATTACGGGAGGGAAATGCATACTAGGATAGTGAAGAAAGGCTTGGATATTAGCTCTTATGTGGCTAATAGTCTTGCTACAATGTACAATAAATGTGGGAAACTAAATTACGGTATGTGCTTGTTTGAAAGAATGAAGTTGCAAGATGTTGTCTCGTGGACTACAGTAATCACGACATATGTTCAAATAGGTCAAGACCAGTATGGCATACAAGCATTCTTGAGAATGAAAGAATCGAGTGTGACTCCTAATGCGTATACATTTTCAGCAGTTGTTGCTGCTTGTGCAAATCTTGCAAGACTAGACTGGGGCGTACAACTGCATGCAAATGTTGTACGTGTAGGTTTTCTTGATTCTCTGTCTGTGTCGAATTCAATTGTCACAATGTATTCCAAATGTGGACAGTTGGGTTCGGCGTCACTTATATTTCATGAAATGAGTAGAAAGGACATTGTTTCTTGGAGCACTATTATTGCTGGATATGCTCAGGGTGGTTGCGGTGAGGAAGCTTTCAAGCTACTATCATGGATGAGAAAGGAAGGACCAAAGCCAACAGAATTTGCTCTTGCTAGTGTACTTAGTGCATGTGGTAGTATGGCAATCCTTGACCAGGGTAAGCAACTTCATGCTCATGTTCTTATCATTGGATTAGATCATACACCGTTAGTACTGAGTGCTTTGATCAACATGTATTCAAAATGTGGAAGTATAGCAGAAGCCTCAAAGATATTTAATTCATCACAAGATGTTGACGTTGTATCTTGGACAGCCATGATTAATGGGTATGCTGAACATGGATACAGCCGAGATGCTATAAGTTTATTTGAAAAAGTTCTTTTTGCTGGTCTAAGACCAGATTCTGTGACCTTCATTGGTGTTCTAAGCGCTTGTAGTCATGCTGGCCTTGTTGATCTAGGTTTTCAGTATTTCAAATTGATGAAAGAGGAGTACAAAATAAGTTTGTCAAAGGAACATTATGGTTGTATGATTGATCTTCTCTGTCGCGCTGGACGAATAATTGATGCTGAGAACATGATCAAGAATATGCCATTTGAAAAGGATGATGTTGTTTGGTCAATCTTGCTTAGAGGCTGTAGGCTACATGGTGATGTTGAATGTGGAAGGCGTGCGGCTGAGCAAATTCTTAAACTTGCTCCAAATTGTGCTGTGACTCACACTACTCTGTCAAACATTTATGCATCAAAAGGAAAGTGGGGTGAAGTAGCAGAACTGAGGAAGTTGATGAGATTGAAAGGCGTCATGAAGGAGCCTGGCTGGTCTTGGATTAAGGTCAAGGATCAAGTCTCTGCATTTGTTGCTGGAGACAAAAGACATCCACAGAATGAAGATATTTATGATATTTTGGATCTTATATCCTCAAAAATGGAATTTTCTCTTCAGAATATTGCTTCTATTTTAGAGTAGCCAAAGCTTGAGCCGTTGGTTGAAGCTTCTCGAAGCATGAGCATCCTTCAGAGAACAAAAGAGAGAAATTTATTCTTTAATTTTATAATCACAATAATCATCATTGGTATATTATACTAAAAGATTCATAGCAATCTCCTAACAGCTAAAAGTGATTTGATTAGCATAGCTCGTGGCTCGTGCGTGTTACTACAGGCAGCTTTGTTTAATCTTTTTCCCCAAATAGTTTAGCCATTTCCTTCGGAAATGATCTTGATGTGTTCTTTTGTAGCATCGTCCATTTATGGTGCTGTCATGAGATGTAATTTTGATTCTGAGTTTGCAAAGAGCAATCTGAGTGGTAAAGCTGGTGTAGACCGATGCTATGGGTTTGTGTTATAGTGTACACATGAAAATATTGCAGTCACAGATGTGTCAGATAACTTAGCAGAGTAGCTTCATCAAGCAGAGTCGCTTGTGTACTTGCCCTGTGAGCTTTGAGTCAACATGGATGTTGATTCAGTAGGGAATGCAGCTAGATAAGGCATCCTGCAAAACATGTGGAGGAAGATCTTTAGTTGATGGGATAGGATCCATATCTGGAAGCATGCTTAGCACTATCGGTTTGGAAGTTGTAAGTTCTATAAATCTAGAGTTGAGTTGGAAAGCTGTGACAAAGAAAATGTGCTCTGGAAATGCTGCTCAAATGGGGATGAAGGTAGTGAACTAGAGTCCCAAGAGAGTTAGAGGATTTTCAGGGTCAGATATGGACGGGGTACCTTTCATTCAATCTTCTTTTGTAATGACAGGGAACCTTTCGTTCAATCTCTGTGATGGTCATGTTTATTAAGGCCGTGCCACCTCTTAGGCCTTGTGAATAATTTTTCGTCTACCAGTTTATATTGCACATAATGTCTTGTGCCGTTGGTTTTTCTTTTCCAAATTAGAGTGCAAAGCGTTGCAAGTATTCTTTCTATATGAACTCTTACTTGAAGAAACCAGACGAGTATCTAGTTTTTTATACTGGTGGAGAAAAGATTCCGTTGTTTTCTCTACATACTGATTGTTCCCTCTTACTTCTTTCTTATCGTTCTGCACTCCAGATATAGCTGTGGAAAACTGAGTGTCCAAAATTATTCCTACTTCCCCTTTTATTCAAATGACTACAGGCTGTTTAGAGCAAAAAAAAGGACAAATTCAATGTCTCTGAAACCTGATTTGTTTTTATTTAAAAACTCAGCCACACCTTGTTGCAAAGGCATTATGCACATCATCTGTTGCATCTACAGTCCAATAAACTCTTGCTCCTCATAAAAATTTGCAGACTGTTGTTCAAAGACTGAAGGGAAGATGGGAATTAGTAGACTGTTGTGAATAAAATGTATATCATGTCAGCATGACAATTCAGACACAAAAATAAAAGGAGCTGCCTGAGATTCTATATTGTTGGCCCATGCTAAGCATGATGAAAGCTCATTCTGTCATAAATAGACACATTCTAGTGTAAAATGCTTAATTTTCCTTTTTTGGGGGTTTAAAGCACTTCATCACTCTTTCAAGGATATAAACGAATAAAAAAAACTGATGTAAAAAGATTAAATGTTAACAACTTTATGTATGTTATAGTATGACCAAAATAATTTAATGACAAATATTAGTTTGAAACGCTTTAAGTGTAAAATTAATTTTTAACGCAAAATGGAGTGTACAAAAAATTCAGCATTGCATTGCAAAATTCATCCCGTTACTTCTGATGGAAAAGATTACAATTCTAAATTTTATGGTCGTCGTTGATAAATCACGTCTATTCTATGTAAGGCTGTAATAATGTAACAAAATTATATGTATATCTGAAAGCACCTTTTTAAGAAATAATGGATGCTAGTACCACATGGATCGTAAAAGAGGGAGAACATGTATATCTAAAATAGCAGTGAGTAATTGAGTATTAGACTTGGAACTGCAAATATGTGCAGGGTATAAGGACTAAACAGTCACTTATTGCAAAGTAGTTTAGTTCAGATAGGAGAAAGAGTGTTCATTATAAACCACAATATCAGGTACTCCTTGCCTTGCCTTGCCTTCTTCACTGACTTCAGGTTCGTTACCTTCGTTTTTTCTTCTGATATCTGAATCTTTTTCTCTCCTCTTTCTTGTTTCTAGTTCTGGGTTTTAGTTTGGACCATCTTATGTTTCTACATTCCATTGTTGTGGATTTGGCAAATCTATTTTGCATTCCTGATGTTCGATGAAATGCTTCTGAGAATTTCTGACTCTTGTTTTCCTCTTTTTAATCGCTTTCAGAATATACGTAATATCATTGTTTTCCGATGGAGAATATTTGTCCGATTCCAAGCGATTCATACAAGGTGGGGTTCATAGGAGCTGGAAAAATGGCTGAAAGCATAGCTAGAGGTGTGGTTAAATCTGGGATATTGCCTGCTTCTCGTATTCGAACTGCCCACACAGGATCCGCTCGTCGTACTGCTTTTGAGTCTTTTGGAGTTACTGTCTTTGACAATAATACTCAGGTAATTTCTTTGCTGATAAAAAAAGATGCTAAAGTAACAGGACAATCTTGTCGATTCCCTTCCCGAATTGATTTGATCATATGTTCAGACAACAAAATTAGTAATATAAATGCTTCAAATTATTGATGTTTTCAAGCTCTCCTTACAGGCTATTAATAGGACAATCAAAGTTATTAATTATAAGTTAGAATATCGGTAAAAGATACAATTATTGCTGCGACTGACTTACTTATTGCTTGTATTGATGCAAGACAAGTGACCTTGAATACGTAAGCGGGAAGACCTTTTTTCAGATAAAATAATAACTATAATACAAAGCAAAGTTCTTAGATTCAGATTGACCTCAAAAATCTTGTTCAAGCAAAGAGACTCACCATTTAAGACCTGAGTTCACAAATACTTAGCAATTGCTATGTCAGTATCACCTCAAGGTCATCTCATCGTAGGAATAGCAAAAACTTTCACTATCTTCTTTCTCTATTTGCTTAATTGATCTTTTTGTTTTTTGTTTTTCTGAAGATCTTTTTATTTTAAAACATTAAATGCAGCCTGCATTATCGGTTTTCTCTTAAAAAAACTATCTTTTGTTTCTTCTTTTGCTGTTTCTGGAAATAGGAAAAATCTGAGATCTAGTAACTGATTCTAGTTTTCTCACTTTATCTCTCTTATAACTTATTATTGTTTTTTTGAAGATTCTTAATTTACATGTTTCTTGTTTTTGTCCGAGCAGGTGGTTGAAGACAGTGATGTGATTATATTCTCTGTGAAGCCTCAAGTAGGTATGGTGCATCTCTTTTCCTTTCTCTCATCACCTTTTTAAAAAACAAATTCTTACGCTTTCCCTTTCAACAATTGGGGG